TGGAATAATATATGCACAGTCCATTAAATTACGACCATATTTCCAAGAATAACTGTGATATAATATTTCCCTTAAGCCATAAAAAAAATTCTCATCCAGCTAACTTACAAAGAAAAAATAAGAATGAACGAGGCAAAATGCAAAAAAATAAATAAATTAATTAATTAATTAAAGTAAAAAAAACACAAAGCATTACAAGAAATAAATGGAATTATTTAACTTTAATAAAAGGTATAATTCCCCCAAGAGGCTGTAACAATGATGAAGAGGAACCTTTCAGTACCCAACCTCGCAGCTTGGAAATATGTGCGGCCAAGACCAACAGAGATGCACAAAAAACCAGTCCTCCACTGTCTTTGTGGGAGGTCTCCTCCAAAAGTGAACAGATCACACCAAGATAAGCTGGATGGACTGGGACTAACCCCACATTAGTCTCAGGGTGTGTAGGTTATGTAGTTATACCTGGAATGACATTGAAAGGGAATGATTAAAATCCCAACAGGCGTTATTTTAGAGTGAAAGGCTGTATGTGTCCTTTTCTCTTTGTCATTTTCTATATTTTTCCGTAACAAACGTACACTTTTATAATGGGAAAAAAAGAAAAAGAAAAAAAAAAGGAAGTTCACGTTCAAAGGGAGGCAGCGCTCAGTCACACTGCAAGGAACGCGGCATTCCACAGCGCACGCTGGGCTCCAGTGAGCCCGCCAGGCGTGCACAGCTGCGCCGAGTGACGGGCCAAGGGGGGGCGGAAGGCGAGCTCACCGTCCTCACTCCACGGGAGTGCATGCAGGTCCCTCTTGGAGCTGGGCCGGATTTTCCTCCGGGTAGGGCCGCGGAGGATTTATGGGCCCGGAGGGATCCAGACATCTGTGCTCCATCTACCAGCAGTGCTAGTCCCCGGTCAGCAGCAGACGGAGCGCCGTGCAGTTGGCTGTCCCTCTCTGGTCTCCACAAACGCCGCCTTTGTGCGGAGGCCCGAGCCCCCAGCCCATGTGGGGCACGAGGGAGGAAGAGGGAACAAGGCCTGCAGTGTCTCACGGAGCTGCTGCAGGCACCACTCCGCTGCTGAGTGGGGTTCTAACCTCTGGAAGAGGCTGCCAGCCCCGCACTCTCCATCAGCCTCCCGAGAAGCCAGAGGAAGGACTGCTAAGTGCTCTGTGATTGACTAAAGCATCGTGTTTGGTGTTTGGGCCTCACTCACCTCTTCTCCTCTAATAAAAGGAGCCCAACGTGAGAGACACAACTGGACATCCAAAGGGATACATATGGCTCTAAGGAGCCAGGAGCCAGGGCAAGGGGCTCTGTGGCAGAGAGCCAAGCTGCTCAATCGCAGCCTTGCATTGCTTTTGGAAGGAGAAAGTACATACAAATACACACATGGGTAAGAAGTGAATGCTGGGAGGCAGCCCCTACCCTCCACGTTCTCTGTTCCTCTCCTTTTAGACTGGGCGTCAAGGCCACAGGAGGCAACATGGGGAAGGATCTGCGGCCGGCCCACTGAGTACCCGCTTTGGGACTTCCCCTTCTCCCTCCTCCTCCCCGCTCCTCAGGCTGCATCAGCATCCTATCTCACCCTAACTGGTGCAGGAAGCAATAAGGACATGAGATTATGGAGATGCTAGGACTGGAAATAATTTTGCAGAACTTGCACTGCACGCACCAAGGTGACTGCTAGAAATATTTGGGGGTGCTCCCCAGGTCCCCCTGCAAACATGGCCGCTGAACTCTGCATCCAACCACAGGAGCGTATTCCCATTTGCTGGCCCCTGAAGGACACACTCACAGCATACGCACATTGCTCAAGTTCTCTCTGTGTCTACGTGCACAACCACCATGCATAACTCTGCTGGGTTGTTTCTGTCCATAATTGGAGCCTGGAGTTAGCTATTACCCATGATATTTTAAAAAAGTAAATAAAAATTATTTTGCTACCAAAAAAAAAAAAAAAAAAAAAAAAAAACCTTTGCGGTTTTAGAAACTAATTTCCACATGTCAGATCCCTCCCTCGGGTCTGGCTTTCTCATCCTTGCTTGGCCTCGTCTGCTGCATCTCAGACATGGCTTGACTTCTTTCTGCCCCAGTTCTCTAGGTCAATGCAAATTGTCAAGGCGATCAAATATTTCCTGCAGCGTTCCATGCGTAGGATCTGCATGGAGCAGCAGCAGGAGAAAAGAAATAAAGGTTGCCAGGGAAGCCAAAGAAAAAATGTTGAAGGTATGACAATGGGGACATCTGCAGGTGACGGCTGGCTGGCTACAGGCCCGGCTCCTTACTGCCATGTGGGAACAGAGGCTCAGTGCCACCAAGCCTTCCACTTCCTCAAGAGGAGTCAGAAGGCCAGGTCCTTACACAGGCTGCTTTGGTTTTTAATTGTTAGCTCAAAGCACTGTGCAGCCAAACAAAACACAACTTGAGGGCCAGATGTGGCCACGGAGTTGTCAGAAAGCAACTCTATCTAGAATGTAAGCACCATGATCTCAGGAAGAGGGCCTGATGCATGACGAGGGGGGAGTGAGGCCCTTCCTTGGGCAGAGGGTGGACTGTCCCAGGAGACAATGAGAAGAGATGCCGGCAACATGGGGGGGGGGGGGAGTCTCATACTTAAGGGGGGGAAATGGCTATAGAGTGAATGGACTTGAACCATAGTCGCCGGGATGGAAAGGAAAGGGTGCAATAGCAGTAGACAAGCTGAAGAATTTCCAAAAAGCAGAACTCAGCAAAAGACCAGATGTGCGGGACTAGGGCGGTGATGAATCTTCCAGAGGAAGCCTGCCATGAACTTGGCCAGAGGGCTGAGGGGCTGGTCACGGGGGAGAGAAGGTAAACACATTTTTCTCCACTAGCTTCAAAGCCCTTCGTCTGCCTCCTCCAGACAACCTTCTTTTCCCCCCTCTGCTCTCCCACAAAGGGGATCTGGGGTACCCAGAGGCCCCAGCACCAACAGAACCAGAGCCAAGCCTATAGGTAACCATGTGCTGAGGTATTCATCCAGAAGACACTGTGAGCAGGGTTAACTGAGGCATGGGCACGTCAGGGGAGAAGCACCGGAGAGGATGGAATCTCTAGAGGACCAGAATCAAACCTGGGACCCTTCAGTCCACAGGCTGATGCTCTCTCCATTGAGCCAAACCGGTTAGAGCCAAATTTATCATTTTTTAATTTATAGTTATATATCTGGTGGTGATTTGTTTAAGAAGACTTTGCCTAACTTCATATTTCCTTCCAAAGGTTTGACCTTTTGTTGAATGTTTAGATCTCTCTTCCCTCTGGAACTTATTTTTGAGAATAGTGTGTAGGAACATAATTTTATTTCCCCCCAAATGGAGAATCAATGGACTCTCCAATTGTTAAAAGATCCAATTTTCTCCCAATGATTCGAAATACTTCTATATGTGCCATGACTCCAAGAAGCCTATGAGAGAATAGTTTGGGCAACTCGGAGTCATCATTCTCAAGTCATAGATTCTCAGAGCATGGGACAAGCCCCTGGGTTCCAGTCCACAATTTTCCTAATGACCCACAAAGTCTAGGGGGGAAAAAAATACTACAAAGAAAACTGTTCAGGACAAGTGAGAAAAGGCAGATTCAAATCAACTTCTCAGCTAAACAAGATGACCCTTCTCAGCCATGACTTTTGTGGGCTTTTGTCTATAAGAGATGATTCTCAAATTGGGTTGGAGGCCTGGACAAATCTCAGCTTTCACTTTAAAAGATAAACTCTATCAGGAGTTCAAGAGCAAGAACAACTACCACCACTTGTTAACCAAACAATTACTACAATAGATAATATTTACTTCCTGGCTAACTAATTAGTAAATAAGTGACTGCTGACTAAGGATCAAGGCACTATACCAAGCCTTTTAAATGCACTATCTTGTAAATATTTACAACAATTCTGTAAAGGAGCTGGTGGCATCAACCCCAGTCCACCCGTTAGGAATAAAAGCAAGACCTAGAGATGTTACGTCATCTGCCCAAGGTGACAAAGTATTGGAGTGACAGAGCCGAAGTCAGAGCTAAGATACTTCATTTCCAGAGCCCCTGTCCTAAGCAAGGGGACCGCACACATTTTCTGCCAAGAACCAGATGGCAAATACTTTTGACCTTGTGGGCCATATGGTCTCTGATCACAACTACTAGACTCTGCCACTGGAGTACAAAAGCAGCCATAGACAGAAGCAGGACATAAATACTGGGCATACCTGGGTCCCAGCACAACTTTACTTATAGACACTGAAATTAGAATTTTGGATCATTTTCATGTGCGATAGAATATAATCCCTCTTTAAATTTTCCTCAGCCATGCAAAAAAGGAAAAGCACCCCTAGCTCGTGGGCCATAAGACGACGGAGGGGGGCTCAATCTTTTCCCATGTGCTACAAAGTGCAGATCCCAACCTGCACCACGAGGCTCTCTTGCCCTCTGATAAACATCCTCAGGAGGCCCGGAGACATGTTAGAATGAAACCTGTCAGCCGAAACTGGTTTGGCTCAGTGGATAGAGCGTCGGTCTGCGGACTGGGGGGTCCCGGGTTCGATTCCGGTCGAGGGCATGTGCCTTGGTTGCGGGCGCATCCCCGGTGGGGGGTGTGCAGGAGGCAGCTGGTCTATGTTTCTCTCTCATCGACGTTTCTGGCTCTCTATCTCTCTCTCTTCCTCTCTGTTAAAAATCAATAAAATATATTTAAAAAGAAAAAAATAAAAAAAAATAATGAAACCTGTCAGAGGGCGTCGGAATGGGGCATGCAACTGGGAAATACGATTTGTGAGAAAAGACCGCACAGAGATGACTCCTCACGTTACTCCTCTCAGAGAACACCGCCTGACCCCAGATTACAACTTGAAACACCTCTTTCTTCCTTTCAGTCCCCTCCCTTGCTCCCTTCTATTGAAATAAACCTCGATTCAGGTCAGTCTGAAACCAGGGCAGATTCTGGGTAAAACAGCAACGCCCTTCCCGCACATGGTTTTCTGCGCACAGGAGCCCGCTGTGCCTCTTACCTGCAGGGTTTGGCTGAAGCGCTTCAGCGGGGTAGCCTTCACGGGCGGGATGAGGTTTGCTAGTGACGTGACTCTGGAAAGGGGTTTGACCCGTTTATTACTAGGCTCCTGTAGGATAAAAAAGAAGAAAGAAATGAAAATGTCAAGTCGATGACGAGGAAAACATAACTCCACCACAAGTCCGTCCCACTCACGAGCTGCACACGGATCTGTGAAACGCAAACAGTGCCCTGTCTCACTCCAGCTGCGCGGAGGTGACCTGGCTCAGAAGCCCGAAGGAGCAATGGCAGCCAGATGTCAACAGAAGCAGCCTCTGAGCACACGGCGAAGGGGCCGGATCTGCTCCCTGCCCCCACTCCCAATGGCTGACAGTGTTTAACTCGGTAACATCATTCTCCCCAAACCCTCCTGAGAGGAAAGCTGCCTCAGACTTCCCATCCAGTGACCTTGTCAGGCGGCTGCCTCTGAGGCTTCTGGCGTCTTCTTTTGAAAAACCTCTTTTTCACCTTGCCTAAAGCCACTCTCCACATTTCTGTATGCACTGGATTTTCTAAAGCACAAGGAATCTTTTAGTTAACCAATTTAAAAAAAAAAAATTAAAGAAGATCTTCTATTCCTGGGCTCTTAAGAAAGCATATTTGCATACTCGGTATATTTGAAATGTACACAATACTTACAAAGAAACACCGGACAGCAGAAGAAAATGCACAAAGAGAAAAAAAACCCTGCCGTGGGCAATCAGTTTTTATACTATATACAACCGTAAGCTTTGAAAACCACCTCCACATAAAACACGGGCAAATCTGCACGTTACCCCAAAACCAAGCTGATGGGTGAGAGACCCTACCCGTGCCAGGGACTCTGCAGACAAGAATTACACAAATAAGACAGCAGACTGAGAGACGGAGACGACAGACAACACATCCTGCAAGGACAAAGAGAGCAGTTACCCTTGTCTTCCTAAGCTCCATCTGACCGGCGGTGGGCGCCGGACAGCACGTGAACACACCGGCTTTTAGTGGAAAAGGCCAAACGTGACAAACGTTGTGGCAAACCTCGATCATTTCCAGGGGGAGTCTCAAGATGCTCATCTTTCTTTCTCAGCCATCGCTTTCTCTCAGTTTCGAGAAGCAAGCCAGAACTTCCGCTTCTCCGGGACATCCCTGCAGGGTGTTCTGAACATAGTAGGTGCTTGGGAAAATCCTGTCTGGATTTGGGATTCTGCCAAGAAACCCTCATGTCATTTTGTGCCCTTGCCAGCCTCAGACATCAGGAGCCTTCTCTGACACGGACCCAGCTTTGCTGGCAATTAAATATAAAAACAAGAACAATTCTGCACTGTGGCCAGGAGTGAGGTCACGATTTCTCAAAGCAGTGAAGCACTTTTCCAAGACGGAGAAAGCATCCAGGCTGCAGGCTACCTCTCCAGCTTCTCGGCTTGCTGAGCTGGACAACAGGAAACTCTCCCAACACTGGGAAGGCTCAGCTCCAAAACACGAAAGATAAGCCTCTCAACGAAAGAGACCCCGCATTCTAATTCCTGCCGTGGCTGAGAGATCCAAGAGCTCTGCTGCTCCAGGTGACAGTGCCCTTCAGGATGCTCCCCCTCCAATTCCTGGCTCCCGAGCATCTGTCCTCAGAGGAGGACTTTAAAAATACGTTTTACGTAAGAGCTGCATCACTGGCATAATGAATACACACACACACACACACACACACACACACACACACGCAAACACTTGAGCACCCCCTGAATTCCTCTACGTGGGTCCTGCCTTAGGCTGGCATTGTGGTATCACCATCTTTGGTGGCATGAACTGCACTACAGCAAGTGAGGTGCGGGGGATTTCCTGGGGTGGGGGCCAGGACTTGGTCTCCAGTAATCCTGCACCCACTTCAGCACCTGGAGGCTCCTGGGCCTCTGTTCCTTTAATGGCTAACGTGGATGGGTCACAGAGTCTATGTCAGAGTGGGGAGATTGAAGGGCAAATGCCAATTGAGTTCTCTCGCTTTAAGAAGGGGCAGGGAGTATTGCACGCTTGGCAGGACAGGAGAAGACTCAGCTCTGTTCCACCTGCTGTGTCATCTTTTCTGAGGTTTTGCTGACTTTGCTGTCCTTTCACACGACCCAGCTGGACAGCTGCAGAACGTAACGCGTGATGCCAATGCCAGCTCCGCTGCAGGCCGTGCAGGGCTGCTAACGAGACGGCCATGAAAGCTCCCTTCCTAAGGCACTGACCGGGCGGAAGTCAACACCGGGCTGCTCTCTGCCAGTCTCATTCCCAAGTAATGAACAATTGAACCAGAAACTATGGTTGCGTGACTTAGTGCTGCGGTCCAGCAGAGCAGGCAGGTGCGATTTTAAAGCCAGGCCACCGGGTCCAAGGAGGAGGTGTTGTGCATGACCCACAGGAGTGAAGTATGAAATACGTTCAGTGAGAATAGGCGATTAAAAAAGCAATCTTGGCCTAATTTAATTTTTCTTTTCCATTTAGTCAGTATGAATCCAGCTACATTTTACTGCTGTCTAAAAAGAGCCCTCAGGGAAAACGTTCCCAGATTCTAGTTAGACAGCTCTACTCAGGACTAGCAAATGCAATACCAGGGTTGCTTCTGGGCATTATAGAAAGGTGACAAAATACATCTCATTGCAGAGGCTTCCTAGTGCAACAACTTGACGGCCAGACCACGCCGGCCAGGTTTAGCATGCTAAATCCAGGAACAAGGCGTCCTGTCTCAAGTGCAGACACCGCCCTCACCATGCCATTTTAAGACAGAGCAGAAGGGCAGCACACTAAATAAAGTTAAAAGAGAAGAAAAGTAAAAGGCATTGCAAGTTTCATGTAGGCAGCATTCTCTGAACAACAACACAGTTCTGTTGCATCTTTTCCAGCCTTACAGCTTTTTGTTTTTCTTATCTTATTGCAATGGCTAGAACCACCTGTATACTGTTGATTACAAGCTGAGCTACTGCGTACACTAGTCTAATTCCTGAATCAGAAGTGATTAACCTGTTAACCGGGGAGTTCCCTTTTTAATTACACAACGTACAACGGGCGCATACTCTTTCACTAGGACGTGTCAGTACATCATGCCCAGTGGACATAATTTTATATTATTATTTTTTTATTTATACTTAATTAAAATAAATGAAATATATATTTTTTCATTTATTTATATATAAAGCACAAAGGAAAATACAAAATTACAAACAAATAGAAAAGAATACCAACAAAAAAATGGAAACATCGAATTAAAAAATTATAAATTTTACAATTATAAAGATTACAAAAAAATATATATTTTTTATTTCTATATACAATAAAAAATATAAAGTTAATAATTACAGAATAAACAAAAGCACACAAATAAAATAAAAATATTGAGTTTAAAAAATTGAAATATAGATGTAAAAATTCAAAACTCTAACTTCCCTGTGATATATTTTAAAACAATTGTTGATACGTAGTGCTACCTTACAATCCGGACACCAGTATGTAGATTCTTTCATAACATCTTTTTTGTAGCAAACTCGGCATTTCCTGGATTTAGTTTTTCCTATATCGCTTTTCATTTGTTCTGGAAAATGCCTTTCAACTAAGCGTGATGGTTTAGATGTAGAGCTGCTTGTTGATGTCTTTGGGTGGGTTTTCACTATGTTTTTATCTACCAATTTCTCTACACACTCTATCAAAAAGTGTAATCGATCCAAATGACCTTTATCTTTTTTGTATATAATATATGCATTGAAGCAGCACATATCAATTAATCGTAGAAAAATTTTTTTTATAAAATTTTTTTACCCTATTACGGGCAGCCGTGTAACCAGTACTCCATCTCCCAAATCTTCACCGCCCATATTCTTGTTATAATCCAGGACAACATTCGGTTTTTCTTGCCTTCTTCCTCTCTTTTCAATCATTGTCTTTTTGTCATTATGAATAGAACTGAGCATCAATACATCTTTTTTATCCTTCCATTTTAAAACCATAAGTTTGTCTTTGATTCTTACATATGTTCATTTTTCTGTAATTTTTTTGTTTTTATTTCACTAGGGATTCCGACTCTGTTTATCCTCATTGTTACAACAATGTCTATATTGTTTTGACACAAAAGTTCAGCCAAATGAATTGATGTATAGAAATTATCTAAGTAAATCTTATTCCCTTTATTCAGTAAGTCATGTGTTAACTCCAAAACAATTCTTGTTGATTGTTTTTCTTGTGGGTAGTTCGAACCATAATTTGTGTCCTTGCCTGTGTATAAAATTATATTTCGTACATATCCAGATTGGCTTTCACTCAAAATAAACAACTTCATTCCAAATCTAGCTCTTTTTGTAGATTTGTTTCCACAATAAATTCCCTTTCCATAATAAATGAGATTCATCTACGCATATTTCTCGTTCACAAACATAAAACTTTTAAACTTTTCTGACAAATTATTGATGATTGGATCAATTTTATGTTTTTTATTATATAAAGGTTGGAGATATAAAAAATATAAGTAAATGATATATAATACGAAAATAGGTAGGTAAGTGTAAGTACGTACCTGTCACTGCTCACCCAGAACACGTCCACCACTCTCAATAGCAAAATTATACTGATTCCCTCCGTGTCTTAAATTCATGTGAAGACATGTATGGATGACTAATAGTTTTGTTGTTCGGAAATATATGTCCCGCCCGTTTCAGGGTGCAACATATATTTCAAGGACATATTCATACGTCCTACCCGTACCAGATATTGTTTACATTTGACGTATTTATACATCCCGCTCGGTTAACAGGTTAATATGAAGATTTCATCCTTAAGTATTATGTTTCTTGAAAGCACGGACAAGACACCCCTTTTCAAGTAGAGAAAGTTCCCTTCATGCTACATTTGCTGTGAATTGTTATCATGAATCCATACGAACTTTTATCAAATGCTTTTTCTTTTTTTCAGAGGACAAGTAAGGGAGAAAAATAACTAAAGGGGAACAAAGAAGAGAGGGATAAGAGGAAGGGGAGAATGAAGAAAGGCATGGAGGTCATATTTTTTTCATTAATCAGGGAATGTGCCCTGGCCAAGAATCGAACCAGCAACCTTTCAGTGGACAGGATG